AAAGCATCAGGTCTTTACAAAAAAAATCAGCAGATAAAAAATTAAAGATATTCAAGGGCCACAAGGTGGTGGTATTTCTACACAAATCCTGGTTGGTTTTTTTTTTTTTTTTTTTTTAAGTTAAATGCTTTTTGCAGCAAATTAAGACCTAGCAAAATGGATTCCTTACTTCTTACAAGGTTACGGCACCACCCAGACAGTCTTGTGTTTCCGGGGAAAACCGCCATGTGTACCATTAGCCCTGCACAGCTCTGGAGTGAGAACTAGGCAGTTCCCGAAAGAACAGCAGTCGTGACCCCAACAAGGTTACTTTAATTCAATCTACAAAAAGCACAAAATTCTTCCCACTGACTCCTCGCTGCAGTTTGGACTCAGGTCGTTCTCGTCTGCCAGTAAGAACAGATTTTAGCCTTTTAATGGAAATAGCTGAGGCCTGAATCTATCCCTCTGTTGATCCTTGCTCTTTTTTCATTTTATTTCTTAACCATGGTTATTTTACCTCTACAAGTTTTATCATGAACCCCTGGGAAAAAGAGGAGTCCTACAGAAGGAAGGGATCCTCCTCTAGGCGGTCTAATCCGTCCCAAAAGGATGAGATGGAAGTGACGAGTCCTGCCGGGGCTCTCGCCTTTCGGGATCGAGTCTGGGGCTGCTCTCTGCAGGCCCTGCGAGCCCAGGGTACCCGGGGCCGTCACAGCACTGATTCTCCTACTGGCTTCTGATATCCTGGACCACAAGGACCACAAAAGGCTACAAAGCGCAGCGCTCGAGGCCACAGGCTTTGCAGTGAGACAGCCTGGGCTCTACGAACCTCACAGAATGTTCCTGCAGGCAATTTACTTAGCCTTGCTAACCCTCAGTTTCTGTACCTGTGAAACAAAGGTATTTCCTACTTGCTGGGCTGGACATGACGATTTAAAGAGATAAAGCACTTGCAATGTGCCTGGCACCTAATAAAGCCCAACAAATCATAACCATTAATGTGAAATGAGTCATCTTAGAATCCGGAGTACCTGTCCCATGGAAGGTATTGAGAAAATATCTGCTCAATGAATGAAGTAAAGCAACACAAGGTCCTTTTTATACATGATTTTACTATTTTATTCAACTATCAGATGCTTAAAGTCTAAAGAAGCCACTTCTTTTTATTTTAAATACTTCATTAAGGGAGGATAACCATTAATCCAATTAGATGATGACAAAGGTTAATAAAGATAACTGCAATCAAGCTTATTTAGCTATTTCTTTATTTTATTTTTAAAAGATTTTATTTATTTATTTATTTATTTTTAAGATTTTATTTATTTGACAGAGAGAGAGACAGCGAGACAGGGACCACAAGCAGGGGCAGTGGGAGAAGGAGAAGCTGGCTTCCTGTGGAGCAGGGAGCCCGATGTGGGGCTCGATCCCAGGACTCT